ACACACACACACACACACACACACACACACACACACGGCGCGCGTGCGCGCACCACACACATAACACAAACACTCACACGCACGCACAGACACAAACAATGACACATACGTATACACACTCTCAGAGGCACCCAGACACTCAAGAAGGCAGTTAAATCCAAGTAGGCCCAGACGCTCTGTTAAAGAGCGTTTTTACAACTGTTATGTCGTAATGTAACATGTAAAATGAGTGGTACCACAGTTTAAAGAAAGCACTAGTAGCCACAAGATTAAGCAGTGAGATAGCGGTAGTCTGCTTATATTACGTGTGTTTTCATGAGACTATTTTTCTGTAACGCTGTCTTATTTTCAGTGTCTCTGTCTGTGTCTGTATATGCACCCCTCTCCATCCTCACCCCACAAACACACATCCTGAGTCCGTCTTTCCTTCCCTCAACTCCAAGGACGAATCATGCGCTGCAACAGTGCGTTACGGCTCGGGTCACTGCTTTCCCCAGGACCTAACTTTAAAATTTAAATTCGAATTTGAGAGATATCCCGTATTGCAGCGCATAACATAAGAAATTCAATTTCAATATGTATTGCCAATATTTGTTGTTATTTCTGTATAAATAAATTAGAGAGCATATATTGGTTGGGTCAGCTTCTCCTGCTAAAAAAAGACACTATATAGATGGGAAACGAAATAATAACCCGCTTCAGATCCTCTTGTAACAATAATGATAATAAGAATAAGAGTTATCGATGTCATAGTGTATATCATCCTTTTCTTTATAGATGGAATTCTAATCCTTTTCTTTATAGATGGAATTCTAATAGAGGATATTTCTACTCGAAAGATGGTACGGTAGATCTTAAACTCTATTATTACAACTACAGAGACATCCAAAAAACCTAATGTCTGTAAAATGGTTGTAATATCTTTCGACTTCATAACCAACATTGTAACGCTTCTAAATCAGGCATCCCATTTGCTGATTAGCACATCAACTCAATAATGGCCATTTAGTGCAAGAGTAACAAACTAAAATGAGAATGAATTATATTCAACTATATTCAGGAAGGGGGGGGGGTATCGGGGTTTATTGCTTTTCATGAAATTAGAATGTACCAAAGCGAACAATGCCGCTCGCATAGTATTATTACGTGTATTACTGTATATTCTCCTCAAGAAATATGTGGTAGGAGGTGTGCATTCACTCTAAAATCAGGATAAACCTCTGAATGAAATGCTTCACGAATTTTATTCCGTTTTTTCTTCATACATCCCAATCATATCAATCCTTTTTTAACGCAGCCCCATTTTAAACATTTCCCTCAACCCCGTTTGTGTATTTTTGTTTCTGTCAGCATTGTTCTCAATTGTTTTCATAATAATAATACAAGATTTTTAAAGTCTCAGGCGCCTTTGGCGGTTGTTCACTGGCCCTGTTTTATATCCTTTCTATTTCACATGAACTTATCTCGAATCAGAGATAAAATTTTCGAGGATAAATGATAGTTGTTGAATTGAAACTTTTGCACTCTTTTTATCGTAATTTTGATTTTACGAAAAGTTTTTACTTAGATTTTTTTTCTGTGCTTTTTAGAAAACCTATTTGTCTCGAAATACCCCCCACTCCGGCCAACATTTCCCTGACCCCTATCAATGCACTCTCCTTCTCAGCCAACATATTTGTGGATGACGCTATGGACTTTAACGAGGAGGGCGAGTGGATGCCCAACATGTTCGTGAGACAGCTAGTGGCAGTTGTCGATGAAGCTGCTAGGTAAGTAATTCAGAAAATTGTGTGAGAACTTAATGTGTTGTTCCCCTTTTAACGCCGGGCTTCTGGGATCGCATGATTAGGAGCGTTTTTCTTACACGCTAAAAAAAAGACCCTTGAGCTCGATTTCCGTGCGGGGAAGATACTTTATCATACCAGTCATCTTTCTTATAGGATGTAGTATCATTTAATTTGCAGTGTTTCACACATCTCGAAGGAAGCCGGTGTGAAGGAGGGCGATGAAGAGGGAGGAGGGAGGAGCAAAGAAGAAAGGAACCTCTCAGATCCAACGAGAATAGAGAGCTATCAATGTCAACAAGGAGGTCGGCAATCGTAGCTCAAGAATTACCTAATAGAAAGGGGATTGGCTTGACGTAGATGGGTTGGAGTAAACGCCTTTCCCTCGGACACAACTGGGAACCAACATGCCATCTCTTATCGATATACCCCCCGGTGCTTATGTTTGCTTGGACAGTTACGAGAAACTGTAGTTCAACTCCAAAATAAAGAAGGCAAACAGAAATCAATTAATGATGCGCACAAAATGGCTAAAGTCAATTTGGTTTGTAATTATTAGCTAAACACAGGTCTATCAGGGGCAAAGGTTGCATTTTATGAGACAAGTCACTCTTTTATTTGGGATACTGAAATAAACGCCCTCAAACGTGTCGATGGCGACATGCAGTATTGCGCGTTGGGTGTTTCAGGGTTATTTTTAGTCAGGTGGCGTATCTTTTGCACAAAGAGTCAGTGCAATAAACGCTCTACAAAATTTTCTATTATGGAAGCCAAACAAAATATTTTTCTCAGCGCCGATGGCGACATCTATACCAATAAGAATGAATCATCGTTTTGCCTTCTGCTCTTGGTCAAGGGGTAAGAACATAAGCGTTTAGTCGATTACCATGAAATGCATCTCAACACAAGTCGGCTCAAATTATGGACAAAAAGTTTGCAGCTTTTATTTCGATCCAGACCATGGACTTGAATTGTAGTATCCTAGACAGAGCACTGTCAAGGCCATCATTCTTTGCCCTCTATAAAAAATTTAGTTGCGAAGTGTGCGCACGATGGGCGCCAAAAAATGAAAGACAAAACGCCGTTGTTGCTTTAATCGAGTGGGCGCTGTTTCTTTCACCCCTTGCACTTCGCCAGGCTTCAAATTGAGTCGAATGCTGCACTCCATGTTAAACTAAAATTACGTCAGAGTGCACAATCTAGGATGTTATAAATAATACAATACAACCTTTGACCCAGACAAGTGATGATGGTAGTTAACCAAGTAATATATTGGCTGAAATTTTGTTTTCATAACCATTTAGGGCCATAACAGGATTACATGGAGGGTTTTTTGGTCGCTCTGTTATCCCCCCCCCC